CGCAGATCTATATTATATAAATAGATATATAAATAGATATATATACATATATAACATATATAGATAGATGTAGATATATATATATATATATTATACACTTCTGATATTTTTGCAAGTATTCCTGCGTGCATATAGGCTCGCACATACCTAGGCATGTGTCTGCGCACAGCGTTTGTCATGCGTGCATGCGTGTGTATTACACTTACAGTATATATTATAGTTACGTATTTACTTGTGTATAAACCGCGCTTTTTGTACACAAGTTCAATAAAAAAAATCAGGGGGTGCGACTTATAGACGAGTAAATACAGTACATGTAAAATCGTAATGAAATTCACACGTTTATGTTTGCATGCTGCGCCACTTCATTGTGTGTCATTACCGATTCAGCTTTTCCTTCAATCACAGGAAAGAGTTTTGCTGTCGTCCTCTCATCCAGCGATGCCCACCCCCTACATATTCAGTAATGAATATGCCCCAACTGACTTATAATTTAAACAATCGTACCCCCGCCCCAGTACATAAATCAATGATGCCCCGTCCAGGAGAGATGCACTGCTGGTCTGAATAAATCTGTAATGGTAAAGTGGGTGTCCCGCGGCTGCTTTTTCAGGGACCTTTGAAAACGTTTGAAGTGAGAATGTGGTGCGATAGCGCCTGGCTCAGAGGATGTTAGGAATATAAAAACTAGAACTTTTCAGTTGTCCGATTGGGCAACTAGGCAAGAGAATAACTTGTCCGACATAGACTTTCACTTGTCCCGGGCAATCGGACAACCGTTAGTGTCGAGGGCTGGTGTGGTTATTGTATTTAAACCTGACTTCTCTACAATGTTTCAATACAATAACCACATCGATTACATTGAATTGTACATTGTATTTAATAGAAGTGTGTATACAGTTTGGTGGGTCTGGTAGGGTTTGCATGCAATGCAAGATTTCTTCATTTCTCCATTGAATTGCTAGACAGCTAAGACGTAATTAAGAGGCAATTTGCTTCTTACACTATTAATGATAGCTATTGGGTTTTTATGGAAATGAAACTTCCCAAAGCTTTATGAGATTAAGATTACTGTGTAAAAATGCACAGATTCACATCTAATTTGTGTTGCTCTATTCTCCATTTCTCTCTGGTGTTTTGCATAGGTAATATTCTATGACAGTGACTGGAATCCAACAGTGGACCAACAAGCTATGGATCGAGCACATCGACTTGGTCAGACTAAGCAGGTGGTTGTATACAGACTGATCTGTAAAGACACAATAGAGGAACGCATATTGCAGAGAGCCCGTGAGAAGTCTGAGGTAAGTAAACGTGGATGTGTCGCTGATGATGGGTCATCTGATATTGGCGGGTGCAGTTAATAGAGTCGCAACAGTGTCTATGTGTCCATCAATAAATTGAAATGAATACACTTTTGGCACTGTAATTCAGCATGTAGTCGGCAATCTGAGTGGTAAGTAATTGCCAGCTGAAAACTAGAGGGCAAGAGTTGAAGATCAAAGAGTGAGAATGTGAGATTTACAGCTTTACCGGCTATAGACATACTATATGACTGGTATCAAGAAATCATGGAATTGACGCACAAATCTTAACTTGACATGGCCTCTTCACATTTGGGATGTATGGTCACAGTGAGAAGTTTGCATCTGCTGTGTGAAATTCATGGTATAAGGTCAATAGGTAGTGGCTTAATTGTAACAAATGTTTTTTTTCTTGCTCGTGTGCATGTAAGGAACATTTGGTTTCAGCACTGACATACCATTTTCACGATTAATCAGAGCATGAAGTTTTCATTTTAGTCGGTAACAGCAGATTTATACCAAATATACCAATAATTTACTTGTTTTACAGTAAGTATCATAATATACTGTCAAATTCTAGAGCACTGGTCTTCTTTAAACCAACACCACGCATCACTTCTTTACATTGATGATTTAAGGTGATACATTGCGTTTGATGGTCAACACACAAACTTGAATATTTGTTTACAGATCCAGCGTATGGTCATTAGTGGGGGACAGTTTAAGCCAGACACTCTCAAGCCAAAGGAAGTAGTGTCCCTAATACTGGATGATGGTGAACTTGAGAAAAAAAGTGAGCTTTTCTGTGCAATGTTTCTTACTGATATGTAACTTACTGAAATCTTCTGTTTTCATAATGTGGAACAGTTTGCCCCAACTAAATCTTTCAGAATTGTTTTTAAGTTATTGCTTTCTGATATTGTATAGGAATTGGCAAAATGTTATCGAATAGTTGTAGTACTATTTCTATAATTGCATATACAGTGTCACAGAAGCAGGACCACAAGAGGTTGTTGGAGGAAAAGAACAAAGAGAAAGACAGGAAGAGAAAGAGAGATCAGTATGTTAGCAGCAAGTCCAACAGCCCTGCTGAGCCTGGAAAGCCAGTCAAGGTGGGAAAAACATGGCTGCCAAATAAAAGTGTGCCACCACGAAGTGGAACCAAAAATGAACAGCGTCTTAAAATTTCATGGCATAGTAAAACGCCTGACTATATAAGAACCACTTGTGTAATAACAAATTTATAGCTGTTGTAATAATTTTTTTACAACAGGCTCAGCAACTACAAGCATGGCTATTACAAAAAGGCTAGCAATGTTATTACAAAAGTTGTGAGTTTTAACAAAGCTGGTTTTCGTACAAAACTGGTTGCTAAAAATTGTGGCAGCCTTCCTTGTTTTTGTTGGTAAATAAGTATATGGACGTATCATATCATTCTTATTCATTCAGAAATACTACTTTGGTACGACGTGTATAGCATCTATGTATATGTATATGTTTATGTTTATGCACTAATTTTAATGGCTCTGTGACTCTCCCTGTATGTGTAGCGTGGACCGGGCAGACCACGGAAGGTAGTGAAGCCGCCAGATCCACCTCCCCGTGTGCCTGATCATGACGCTGCGTCGGTTGCGAGCCTCGAATCGCCTCCAGCAAGCCCTCTCAGTGAGGTAATGCTTCCACGTCCTTGTGCTTGTGAAGTTGAAATACACTTAATGTGTACGCCTGCCTGCAGTTTATTGCTTCCATGTATCTATGCACGTGGCTGTAAGGCTTTCATGCACATATAGATGTACCGTGGTAATTTGTCCATGTACCCTTAGATAGATGTACTGTGTTATAAGTGTTTCTACATACCCATAGATGTACCGTGGTGGTGCTTCTATATACATGTAAACATAGAGAATTCGCACCAAATCAGGGTGTTCAAGAAAAAATATTCTGATGGATTTGTTTCCGATTTCTTGACATCACCGCAAGTAAATGATTACAGAATCGTTAATTCGGATTTGACAAACTTGGTGTCTTATATCCGTGCATGAATCAGTATTATTGTACTTCCTGGGCTGGACGGCATCACTTGTTGACTAAAATTCATCATGCGTCTGAGCAGTAAAACTTTGGAACCGCTGTTTCCCACACTGACCATATTGCAGCCGTGTGTGATAACGAGCAAGTTGCTGCCCATCAATTCAGCGTGTTTTGATTAGCCTTAGGAAGTAGAGTTCCCCTCAGGCCCTACCTATAGAAAACTGGTCTTACCTCCGTTTCAAAAATCGTCGTGTGTCCTTCACACCAGGGCCATAACTGTATAGATGCAGCTCGATATGTAGTCATTATTACCACGCTAATATAGTAAGTGTAGCTAAGCACTAAGTAACTTTTCAGATTTATTAGATTTTGAGCAGATTTCTTGGATTTTGGGGTGAAAGAAAATCATATAGATTAATCCCCACATGCTAGAAATGTTTACAGTGAGGCCATAATAAAAATATTGTTTGTTTGCCCTCACCCGACCGACCCGCCAAAAAGGGGCTGACTCAAAAATTTTTATTATTTATTATTGTTCAGCTGTCCTACCGTCTGACCTTGTTCATATAAAACAAACTGCATGTCCCTACGATGCCCATACGCTGAGATAATGAGCGGTGAAAATCTGGTATTTTCGCTGAACACCGACTAGACATTAGTCGGTACTGCATCACTCTCTCGAAGTGTTATAACTTCGGTGAACCTCGCGTGTTTCCATCAATGATTGACAAATGGAATGAATGACGTCTGTTATTGATTGCCATAGTGATGACCCCCACCTGTGCCCACCTCACGCCCACCTCACGCTGAATGTATAGTAAACTCTGGTAGTATTACGTGAGTCAGCACCACTATGGCGCTACAAAGCGGCGACCGGAAGCAAGTTCAAGCAACACACTGGAAACACTTCGAGAGAGTGATGCAGTACTGACTAATGTCTAGTCGGTGTTCAGCGAAAATACCAGATTTTCGCCGCTCATTATCTCAGCGTATGGGCATCGTAGGGACATGCAGTTTGTTTTATATGAACAGGGTAGGACAGCTGATCAATAATACTGCAAAGAATCGTCAAAATAAAACGGAAAAAGTTTATTAATTCGACTAATACTGCAACATGGTTTCAGCATTTTACCGTTGTACGCTCTCCTTCTTTATACGCTCTTGATTATATAAATCTGTAGGCAATACATTATATGTACCAAGCAAAACAAACATTCAACATAAAAGGTATTGCCACACAAGCACACCCGAGCATGTAGACCCCATGCTGAATTTGTAAAAAGACGCCCCTAAAAAAAAGCCTACATACCTATCCAAACCTTTCAGCCTGGGTCTGGTGAGGGCAAACAAAGATTTTTTTAATTGTGGCTTGACTATGAAGTATATCCCGAAAATGTACTTGTTAACTGATACAGGTCAGTACTATTACGCTAAATTAATCTTTTTGTTATTTTAGATTTCATCGCTAGCAATTTTTGGTGAGGAAAGTAGTGACATCATGTTGAATGTTGAAGAGAACTGGGACTTGTTAGCTCCTGGTAAGCCACCATGCAGATATGCTAAAAATATAACAATAACCTAGATTTAAGAGTTTGAAATTCAGTTATGATCTATATATACTACATATCGCTTGTTAATGTGTATTATCAATGATAAATAAATATTTACACGTAAAATTGATTAAGAAAATAGATATTTATGGTAATTAAGACCTAACTTAATGTTTAATACTATGCTGATGTACTACTTTATTGCTATCACTATATTCTCCTTGTACTAATATAAAAGCTTTCAATCGAAAAATGTGAGGTAAACGGTTAACTGCTCTCAGAAACGATATGCTTGAATAATATCATATGCCAATAAAGAGTCCAAAAAATATCAAAAATTATTGTTAAATTTGGCATTGTCTGTTAATCAGTTCCAATTGTATAAGTGTGCAGTTGTTTAAAAAATCCTATGTATGTTAGCAATCATGTTCAGTGCACACATGACAGGTGTTTCTGCCAAGTGGTAGGAGGTGTTTGAATGTTTTATCCATATGTAAATTTTACCCTGATAGAGATTGTTGACTTGGGTGTTTGTTCTGAGTCACTTGCTTCTCTGTCAATTCTCTCCTCTCATCCATTACTAGACTATGTGTCAACACATGGTTATGATAGGTAAACATACCGAAACCAGGCAACAGAGAAATAATATGTTGGTGGATGATCCATTCAAAAAGTTTAACTGTACATTTCCCCAGTACTTTACGTATATAGTACATTTTTGTGGACTTGGCCAAAAGGCTAAAGAGGTAGTGTCAGATCTGAAAAATGGTAAACATGTATTTCAAATGTCATTTTAATGCATTTATAAATTTTAATTAGTTGTACTTGAGAGCTGCTGTAATAATGTTGGCTTCTCAATGTGCACATACATCCACTCACTGTTTAGGTGTATCATTATTATGACCAAACTCAGTAGTAACCTTGTAGCAATTCTGAACTGGCTCAGGAGGGATCAATGACAGTGTTTCTGTATGGCAGTCGAACCAACACCGCCACCGCCTAAAAAGAAGAAGCGTGGCCGGCCCAAAGGCAGTGGCAAGCGTGTACGCGGCACTGTGGCAACGCTAAGCGCAGCAGAGCAGGCAGGTGTGCAGGCGGGTATGTCAGCTGCCATCTCTGCAATCGGACTCAGCATGCAGGCTAGAGGTAAGCCTCTTAATTCTTGTAGCCATTTATAGGCCACAGTATGAGCTTATCACTGAAATATGGTAGCCTCTTGATTTTAATATATAGTTATTGTGGATTCATGAGTACGGTGTGAATATGCCCAGTGTATGAATACTATCCATTATAACGTGGTTTAAGTGGATGTATACTTACTTGATTTTATCTGGATTACTATTTCAATTAGAATAGGTGGATTATGGGACTATGACAAATTAGAAACTTGTTGCAACTTTCAACTTTCTATGCTATAACAGCATAAATTTCTAGTTTTTTGGTTTGTGTAATTAACAACCTCTGCTATCAGGTGTAACTTTATTTCGCCACATTTTTAGCTCATCTGACGTAGTCGGATGCAGCTTGTAGAATCGCATGATTGTGCGTCCGTGCGTCCGTCCGTTCGTCAACAGTTGGGCACAAATCTTAACCGCTCGACGTACGGTCACGATATTCGGGACGTGGGGGGGGGGGGGGGTAATCCGAAAACGAGTTGGGATGTCAAAGCTGGAGATCAAAGGTCAAAGGTCAAGAGATGTAAAAGAAGGGGGAACATTCCTTCCTTAACTTAAAGTATAGGGAGGAAATGCAGAATTGCGGCACAAATCTAAACGGCTCGACCTAGGCTCGTGATAGCCGGTGTATAGCATCATGGTAGGAAAAGCCATCACTGTGCCGAAATTGGAGGTCACAGGTCAAAGGTCAATGGGGCACAGGGCAGATTTTAGACATTTTCTGAGGACATGGTCTGACGGATCGATTGGAAAACATTTTTTTTTCAGCGTTGACCTAGCATTTTTATGGCTTTATTGAAAGGACAATGAAATCTACTTTCTGCTGACATGCGAAGAGTAAGTGTTGGATAACCTTTTGACCCTCAAGAGGAGGGTTAAACATGGATTTGTTGATGTCTGTTAGAAAGAATTTGACTGCCGGGTTTTCTAGTAGAATCTATCATGCCTGTGATGTATGAGGCTACACATGTCACAGTGAAATTTCAAAGCTAAATTGGGTTGAAGGTTTATGCTCCTTAAATTATATAATTTCTATGGCATTCTGTACTGTCAGTGGTGTTACATGTAACGTATGCCACTGCCAATGGCCACTGCCAGTGCATGTGGTGGTGATAGTACTGTGTAGTTTTGCCTGCGTTAATTAGTTACACGGTGCAGCTCTCTATTTCGGCCTGTAGGCTTGCGTAAGTAAATGGATGAGTGCTTACCTATCTGTCTTGCAAATAGTTGTTGCTACTACGTACGATGGGAGCTTCCATCTTTAATCTTAAGACACTTAAACGTACGCGCGCCATCTCGTGGCAACTTTTATAACGATCCCAACGAACATTCCTTTGAGAAGGTTCCTGATACCATCCCTGTGCCTTCCACTGTTTCGAGTCGTGTATGTGAACACATTTGGGACTAACAGGGTTTACTAGAATCCCACCACTCCACCACAGAGTCACCGCAGTAGACGTTAGATGAGCACTGTCGCTCCGCAGCACTTGTATCTAGATTGTGCGTATATAAGCAGTGATAATGAAATGATAGCATAAAGTAATAAAAACGCTGTTCCAGTCTAGAACCATTACCTCACTCAGTGAGATATGCTTTTGGCAGATGGTTGCCAATGTCAAGGAAATTACTGTGACATGAAAAAATGTAGCTGCATTATTTTTCAATTTTATAAACCATGAAAGCATTTATACTGGAGTAGTCAGTAAAATGTTTGCTAATAGGTGAAATCTATTTTGTCTGCATTTTTTATTTTCTAATTTATATAATAAGAGAGATAATAATTTATAACTTACTGCTATTCCTATATTATGTACTTTCGATCTATGGCTTGTCTTTACAATACTGTATACACTGTATATTTCGCGGTGGTACTCGCATACAAATACAAATACTTGATACAACACACGAATAATTCATACCGAATAATACCGAATATTTCATAATTCACTGACCGCGAAATTGTCTGTCAAGTCTGTCAATTGTATGTCTGTCAAGTCTGAATTCGCGAAAATATGTGTACGCGAAAAATATGGCGTATACAGTAGTTGTTGTTTCTGTATCATATACCATGCAGAGTGCATAAAAGATGTTGCTACAATAATTTCTGTTCTTCTACACAGGTGCTGCAACACCACCCTCTCGGTCATCGTCATTTTCGAGCTTGTCCTCATTGCCCAACTCGGCGTCACATTTCACAAGGTCTCGGTCATCTCCAGGCCGTGGTTCTTCAGCCTCAGCCAAGGGAACGCCAGGCACAAGCCCCCGCCACAAAAGAACATGACTGATGTTCATGGCAGTTACCATAACAGTGTCGACCAAGTCTCCAACTGAAGATAAGGTGGTTTTTAGAGGCGAAATTGGTCGGATATATGTATAGGTAGCCCATGTAAAAAAGAATTTGTGTTAGACTCGAACTATTTGTATTATCACAGCTTGATCTTGATTTCATAATAGTCCACAAGGTATACAAAGGTACAAGGTATACAAGTACCACAATGGATTTTTATATAATTATTGGATATGTAAGTGAGCTACAGGTAAACAGGAACTAGTGCAAGAATAGCATCATGCTTCATGACAGCATGTATTTATCGCAGCCATGCACTACACAGTTTAGCTGCAGTACATAACATCTGCTATACCAGCATTTTATGCGTGATCCTAGTGTGCATTATTATAATAATAATTATGTGCTAGATGTGTTGCTATCATATCTAAATAATTGATTAACAAATCAAATGATGAATCATAGGCCTATATAGATCCTCTGTAGCAGAGGCATAAATGTTATAATCGAGCAGTCGATTCGACTATCTGCATCTTTTCGATAAAGCAGTGCAGTGGGCTTTTATGGCAAGTGTATCTACCCTCTAATCTATAGTTGCTGCAGTATATATACACGTAGCTGAAAATGCGACACCTGTCACTTATAGACCCGATTAGTATTGTCCTTGCTAGCAATCTATAGCAATTAAATATGTATACTGTCTGCAGTGACTCAGACATCCCTAGCTGTGCCTGTGCTCAACAAGGGACTGAAGCGCAGCTATTTATACAGCTGAGTACAATGCTATGTATAACAAATTTTTGAAACTCAATTCCGAGCTTTTTAACTCGTCCCGATGACGTGACTCTGCTGCCCAATGAACCCGCAGCTATACTTACAATCACACAGTGGTTTATATAGCGTACGTAGTGAAAAGTAGACCCCACCTCCCAAACCTGATTGCTGATCCTAACAACGGTTTTACCGACCAATGTGTGTACTTCAGACTTTGATACCAACAACGTTTAACTGTCGTATCCAGTCGAGCAAAGCATTTGATTGGAATGGCATGAATAATTGGGTCATTGTAATAAAAGTGTTTCATCTTTACGTGAAATGGCATTGGTATTTCCACATCTAGGTCAGTTAGGTTTGTCAGTGTGCCGTCTTACATATTAATCAGGCTAAAATGCAGAGCAACTGATGATGTGTAATGTACTGCTACTTGTTAATGTAATGCATGTATAGAAGGTGAGATTATTTCGTGGTGTATGCATAGTCTATGTATGGCACATGGTCAGATGTTAGCTCAACTGTTCCGATTAAGGGGGCTATCACATAATGTCGTGCATATTGTATTAGGGGTGGGACAATCATCGATGTATTGACGTATCACAATACAAACCTTGACGATACTCGTATTAATACATTTGACCATTCACGATGCAATTATCAATGCGTTTGACCCTTCACAACACACGTATTGATGCTGTATTAAATCAAATCTATATCATTTATCACAGTAGCTTTTTTAGAACAAAAGAAACAACAAATTCACAGTTTTTAAGCTCTTCACGATACTGATTTGTAAGCGTTCACATGATTGGTAGAGTCCCGGTTTAGAGTATAGTTTGCTAGCTAGTTTCTTTCTCAAATATTGCAATCTGTATTGTGTCGTGAAGGCTGTATCATGATGTAGATTGTATCGTGCGATATCCGTATCGTCCCACCCCTACATCGTATACTGCTTATCTGTTATTGTTGCCAGACGCACATCTAAATTATAATTACCTTTCCTACAAACCATGTAAATACACAGTATATCTTGTTTTGTATTGGGGAGATACATTTATAAAATGAGAGCGAGATAGGGAGAAGTTGAGAGGTGAAGCTTTTTACACAGAAGAAGTGTGGAGTGATAGAAAGAGTGTAAGAGTGTGTGAGAGATAGTGTGTGTCTGTGTGTTAATGGGTGTCAGTAGGAAGAAACTGACTTCAAACTAGAACTGGATTAAAAACAAGGTTCAAAGGTCTTTGCAAACTAATTTCCAACTTCCAACTAAATTCACGTGCATATAAAAGTCTGCACGTTTACAAAAGTCGTAAAACATCAGTTTGTAGAAACCCCATAATTTTTTTTCGTAGAGGTCAGTTTCTCAGGAGCTTTTGTCTGCTGCATCTAATATCAGAATCAGGGTCTGATTAAAAATTTCCGTCAGAAGTAACATCTTCCTGCCCACTGGGCTGTGTATTTGTTGCTTCTGCCGGCTTTTGAGGTTCGCAGTAACGGACTTAATGCCTGCTATTCATGAATGTGGTCTGGAAGGGTAGGTGTTCATTACCTGAAACGAGCACTGGCTGCTAACTTCTGTGACGAAGATGGTCTTTTGTCACCAAAGTGATCATTTATTGCTCTGAAGATTATAGGACTATGGCGTTGTGAAGTTCTTGACAACTGCCTCTGTTTCTGTCGGAGTCTTCACCCATACCGACTGCAAACAAAAGGTGAAAAGACTGACCAGCGACGTTTGTCAACGTGTGCCTTCTGTTGTTGTCCGAGTTTCGTATCAGGCTTCCAGAATGTCTCTACATCTCTCCTCTGTAGCTGTATTTGGGCTGGTAAAGTGAGGTTCACTTAAACTTAAAGTTCAGCTTACTTCCATCACGAGCTATTCTGGGCTGGGCCCATGCTGTACAGATGTAGCTTTTAAAATCCGTGTTAAGGGTTTTTGCCTCGTTTTCGATTTGTTTATTTTTGCACAGCGCTTTCAGCTTCTCTGTTGCCCAGTGGTGATGGGGTGGGGGGGCTGCTGGTGATGTGTGTGAACCCAGGATAGTGTTCTATTCAGCTATAATACACGTTTGCAAATTTCTCGCCATGCAGTTGCTGTCTTGATGCATGCATGCATTCACATTTTTGTATCCCCAGTTCCCCGCGCTCTCTTCTTCATCAGCCTATAACATGGAGGGATGTGTTGGACAGCCCTGCATTCGCATGATAAATAAACACGAAATGTATTTACTACCAAAGTCTTAATGCTTCTCTACACCACATATAATCATATGTGTTGTTTATATGTGTCATGTCTATATTATATCAAGAGTAGATAATAACACATAATGTGTTATTATCTACTCTTGATTATATGTATTGTTTTTGCACAGCAGCGGCCGTGCGGTGTAGTCGTGTGTTGCAGAGGAGCATTTGAACGTCATTTACAGGAAGTTATTGGCAATGATAGGCGAAAGAGAGTTGAGAAACATTAAGACTGGTAGTAAATACATTTCGTGTTTATTTACCTTTTTTATTGAAACGTTCCAAGTGCCTGTGCCCGCATCCCTCTTGGGCAATCGATCAGCCTTCAGTATATTTTGTAATGTTACCAGACCAGACGCGATTCCCCTAGTCGTAGAACAGCAGCTACCATCGCTGTAAAGATTGTATCCGGGTCATTATAGTAGCTCCAGGAAACTGAAGAGTAAATACAGTGTACAGCACAGCAGCAGAGGATAAAACAAAGGACGCTTACTGACTGTACGCCCGCGTGCCAGCCGGTGGTAGCGTCTTTCGCGGAACCAGCTGGAGTAAACAGCTTGCCGTCACCCACGTAAACATGCTGGAGATGGCAGCGGGGACCGTCGTATATGCGGGGCGAACGCCTATCGTACGGCGGCTGCGGGCACTGTCCTACTTTTTCCAGCTGATGTATTTCTATGTATAGCTGTACGTGTGTTCTATTTCAGGGCGCGTCGACCAACCTTCCAGTATCAACCAAGGTCTCATAACCGGAATACCTGTCCTCAAATAGTTCATTTCTTATCAAGATACTATTGTGATTATAGCCACAATAGTGGGCTGTGAAGAATAATATACCAGATAAATACGTTGAGGGTGTTGCTGTATACCAGCTGGCAGCATGCATATCAAGAGTTCATAATAGAAATTTTCCATTATAATAGAAGTTGAACATATCTATTATGGACGCTTGGTAATGCTTGGTAATGCTTGGTAATGGGTAATGGATATGCATGCTGGTATACAGCCACACCCCCAACGTATTTATCTGGTATATTCTTCACAGCCCACTATTGCTGAAGGGGTTGTTGTCGTATAGGGTACTAGATATATATGTACGGTGTACCCGAGGTACATATATACATGTATACATAAATGTACCCAGTGTACGAGTTCACTACATAAGTGTACCCGTGATCACATATACCCGAGGTACATACCGGTATATATAGCGATAGCAGTCTGATGACGTCACAGGGGCGAATTTACGCGGTACACGTTATAGTTGGTTACCAAAATATTATTTTATTGTACAAAATTGATTAGAATGATTCGAAATATTGTTCAGCTTGACTAAACTTGACCTTGACCTTTTCTAGCATGTGCGTGCAGGTAGGATAATAGAATTAGAGCAGTGTTTTAGATCTTCCTCTCATCCATCTTATCCATCTTCCATACATATATGTACCCAGGGTATCTTGTATATGCCGATATATACCTCGGGTACATATATGTGATCACAGGTACACTTATGTAGTGAACTCGTAAAACTGGATACATTTATGTATACATATATGATATATGTACCTCCGGTACATATGTAGTACCCTATACGACAACGACCCCTTCAGCCCCACTATTGTGGCTATAATTTGGTTGCTACATATAATAGGTACTTCAACAGAAATAGATAACATACGCACATAAATTTATGTAATCTAGATAATTGGTTTTATTTGCGTCAGTGCAATCTGATGGATGTAGGAGGCAAAAGAAAATGGAAGAACTTTCTACTTAAATATTTAGTTTTCGGGTGGCATGATTTTCAACCAAATATTATTTTTGAACATAACACATAGTATATGCAAGCAATTTTAATGGCTACTTTATTGACCATCCCTTCAGTTAGACAGCCCTGATTGAGAAGTTTGGGTTTTTCCAATAATAAGCAGCAGTTTTCATAATACATAATTGAAATAAACAATACTTAAAAACCAAATTATATATCATATAATTTATATATTAATATATATCTGCATTGGTAATGAGGTAAAAAAAATTGCAATATCTCTTTGGCAACATGCTTTCTTTCATTTATCCAATAATAAAACATTGCACAGACATTATACACACTACATACAGCACTACACACAGCAGCCGTCAAACCACCACCTTCACAGTTTTTGACGTGGCCTCCTTAATTGTGCCACAAATCGTTAGAGATTCAATGTCATTGCTGCCCCGGTCCTTTTCGACATCCTCCAATGCGGCGCGCCATGAGGGAGCGCTGCGAATTTTCTCCCACCAGAAGGCACTGAAATTCTCGCGGTCGTGGGCGGAGGTCTCGAGCTCAGGCACATCGTTGAGTGGACAGCACGAGTGGTTCATGAGCGAGGAGAGTGGAACACCGCGTTCGTCAAGAATTCGCATCACTGCACGCTCCAGCGCAAACAGCTCGTCATCAAGCAGATCCTCCTCGTGGAAGAAACGCGTCAACTTCATCAGGTACTCAACATTGTGCCCACACTGCCCCTCAGCTGACGCGATGTCCAGCGCCATTGTATCAATCGACGATGCGCCGACGTAGTGCGGGTTTTCCTCTGTTGCTATGTACACAACTACGGGTAGTGTGGAAACCAGCGCGGTGGAATCGTCACCAGCATGGGCATGGAAGTCGGTGATGCACGTCTGATAACCACCTAGATTGCATTCTCTCATGTTCAGGTGCTCATAAGCCTCCTCTGTCTGCTCAGGACCAACAACCTCGTACGCAACACCCCACGCGAGTGCCTGAGAAAAGAAAGCCATTAGAAGTTGTATGACATCATATTACCCAAGGGTTCCAAATACAGTGTAGCCCCGTTATAACGCGATGGTTGGGGTCCATAAAATGTCATCGCGAAAAAAGTGGTATATATATTATATAACTATAAGAGTAAAAAAAGGGGGTCCAACAACTCATTGCGTGCGTAAAATCGGATTCTACTCGGGGGCGGATTCGGACCGTATTTGCCGTATTGGGAAATACGGTCTAGATTTCAAAGTGCCCTTCGAAATTTTGCGCTAAAAAATACAGAAAACAATTTGATGGAATTTGGCTATATTCTCTATTTGTTTTCTTTTTCTTCTGATTCATTGACAGGACTTGAAGGAAATCAACATTTTACATGGTAACAAAACTAGCTTTGATATCTGAAAAAGAAGGGAAGTGCTTGAATCATTCTGCATTAATTGCTGGTATGCAAAGTGCAGGCAAAATGAAGCAGGAATAAAATTCCATATGGTTTTTAGCTATTGCTGCTCTGTGCACTAAATGTGTGCTCAAATGGTGCTCATTTTTGTGCCCAGGGACCCTTGAAATTGTGAAAAATTGAGCCCAGACCCCCCGCCATGTGTTTCCGCGCCGAACGGCGCCCACTGTGGGGTGGTGTGCCCTTTTTGGGGGATGTGCCCTTAAAATCTGGAAAAATACTGTCTAGCTTCAGCCCTGGATCCGCCCCTGCCACTGTAGATTAACAAGGGTATAAGGCTAGTTAAAAAGAACTGCTCTGGGAATGGCGAATTATCACTTTTTTACCCGAGACACTGGGAATCGATAATCTACCGCCATTCCCCCATCAACATTGTCTTCCGATTTTATGCCGATGTTACAAAGAAAATATATTAAAAAGCATCAACTTACATTTTTGTCAGTAATCAGTGTAGCAACTCTTCCAGGCTATAAACAAAAAGGAGATCAATATAGAGATTAATTACGTACGTTGCAAGTATCGTGCACATATGTAAACAAGCAATTGTGATAATATAACTCTGCCTAGTTAATTGTGGATATATAGTAATACCATGTAGCCCTCGTTGGGTCTGCCACAGGGCCAGTGCACTGCCCTGTAGCAGAGTCAATGAGGCTTGTGCTACAGTACTATTGGCTCAATCCTAGTTTATAGCACCCCGAATTAGTTTAGCATATATGTGAACTATAATTACGCCGGGGTCCCAAACAAGGATTGAGCATACTATTATAGTATAGGAGTTAGCTTAACTGTATATAAAATAATGTGATCGAGCTATAGATATAGTACTCTGTCAGTCTGTTGAGTGTTTAGTTTAGTTACATAATTGATGATTGTGTAACCTCGCACTTCTAGGGTGAGGTACAAGAGCAGTAGGAGTGAGAGTAGAGCAACAGCCAAGACAAGAAGTCAAAACACAAACTAGCAGAGTAACGTACCACAAAGAGTTATATTCGACATGATGCAAGGTAAACAGAAACGTGAAGCTGAAGGTGTAGAGATATACGTGATAGCCAAACCAACAGAGGAGAAGAAGTCCCCTCTCTCTCTCTCGGCTCTCTTATATGCAACCGAAGTTGTTGCTCGGCCTTGCTACGACGTGCGCCAGCTGCGGGTAATAACTGATTATCCCGTAGCAGTGCGGCCCACCTGCCGCCGTCGTAGCTATCTTATTGCTTGATATTACCTTCAGCCTGCATCGCGTGTGAACCTAATGGTTCATCTATTCCCCTGCATTGTCACCAATGCGACCCGCATGGCCTTATTCCAAACTAACAGCAATTAATAAGGCCTGCTGAAACCAGCTCCGTTACAATTGTATCTAGCTTAGTTGATGTGAGAAGAACGATAATGTATTACAGTATAGAGTTTTCGGTTCAATTCCTACATGTAGTCGATTATGCCTACCTTTTCAGGAGTTCCTCGATGCGTGCAGTTGCCTTGCCAAAATTTTAATGAAAACCCTTTCACGTATCCAACAGTCTTAGACGTGTAAGAGAACCCAGGCTTCCATATCAACGAACCATACCCAAACACCCAGAAACGTACTGGGAGCCCAGAACTGCACTTCATACTGACTAGTACTACGTGAATATTATCTGCGGCCTTGCCGGTCAGCTATGCTGCCTTGTATCTTGTATCTTGGGGACCCTAGCTCTCTTGACGTCTTAACTGCTGGTCCGATTCTGCGAAAAACGAAACAATAAATAAGCAGGTGAAATTCATACCTAGTTAGCTCCAAGAAACGGTATTGCTAGGGTTACAATACCTAGTAGGTATTGACGGTATAGACAATCCGTCGCACAGCCTGGTCGGGCTAACCTTCTAGTACGGTATATACTACTAGGCCTACTACTACTACTACTACTAGTACTAGTAGTACTAGTAGTAGTAGTTATAGTAGTGATAGCAGTGTCATAGCACTACTACTACTAGTACTAGTACTAGTAGTAGTACTAGTACTACTACTACTAGTACTACTAGTAGTAGTGCTATCACTATCACTATCAGTATCAGGAGTTAATAATTAGACAAATTTTTCTCATGCCATTATGATTAATCATTAAGTGATCAACTCCTGGTAGGCCCTATACTATAGATAGGCCCTACTAGTACTAGTACTATAGTACTACTACTACTACTACTACTAGTACTAATGTAATAAAATAGTAATATATTAATTATATATAGTCTCTTGCATGAATGACTTTGTTGACGTCAGGAATAAAGGAATTACCGTTATTACGCATCTTACCTGTACACGTTCCGGTTGTCACTTCATCAGTATTATTCATTCATAACAATTCACCGTCGGTAGAACCGGACCTATATGCTACAACATACACTTCTTCGCGCGACTAGTGACAGTGTGAGAACAGCTGTGAGCTGCAGCTGCTGAACCGTGTGATTCGGTATGAACGTGGCGGATGATGCAATCCTGCTGAATCCACTCCCGGTCCCAAACTCCACGACAGCTGTCGCTCTCGCTCATGGGCTATTATTAGCTCTTGATTCCATATAGGCTAGTACCGCAGTACTACTAGTGACTAGTGACCAGTGACTAGTGACCAGCTCGCAGTTTTGTTGCCTGTGCCAGTGCGTACAGCCGGCGCGCGTGATTTTTTCCTAGGATAATCAAGCACATTTCACGGTGTGACGTCACGGTGGCATGACAACGAACCCAAACTCCACGACAGATGGCGCTCTCGCTCATGGGCTCAATCATAGAAGAACAGACCACTATTAAATTCTCCATAGGATCCTATACTTAAGAATTGAATTTCAGGAGCTGAAAAATAGTATTTCGGCCATTTTCGGCCGAGTGGCAATATTAAAGCTAGGTAGCCATGTACTTCAGCTGTGCACCATTAGAGTTATGACATATGTTGTCCGGCGTTTAAAAAAAATATCGCGAATTTACTAATCGACACCACATTTGTGCCTAAAAAACAGTCGCTCAGTCCAATGGAGGCCATACATTGAAAGAATTCGTTTTA